TGACATAAATGCATGATCTGTAGATAAAAGTCTGTATATTCGCATAAAATTACTTTATTTTCTTGGAGTTTGTTGCTGTTTTTAAGCGACTCACTACCGTGTTCTGTTAGATCACACATACATATCACAAGGATTATGAATCGGCATCAAACGCACAATAACTGTGAAACAAAGGAACAAATCGCACTAGGATTTGTGCGCTCAACATTTTTTCGATTTGTGACATGAGCTTTTAAATGCGCACTTCTGAAGCGCAGTGCTGCTGCACACTGACTCCATGTTGCCATTTGAGCACATCATTCTGCACCCGCGATGCGCATACACGCTGTGTGCTCTCTGTTTTTCATGTTATCATGGGTTTGCGCACTGAAATATTATTAAAAGCCAATATATTTTGTTATACCTAGCCTGCTCAATACATTTTAAATAAGCATAATTTAATTGTATATAATTTATTTGTAGTTTAGGCTATGCACTTCTGAATTCTTGACATTAATATATAAATATAAAATTGTGACATGATTGCCTGATTGAATTTTAAAAGAGAACTAATAGTAATTTGTTTTTATTAACATATTTAGATTTTATAAAATTACTGTGCAGATTTTTTCAAGAATTACTTTTTGCTGCTGATGTATACACTCATTAAGTGTATTAAAAATTCATAATACATTTATGTAATATTTAAAGGTGTTAACTGTAATCTTACACTGCAAACTAATAACTTAAAAATGATTAAATTCATCACAATTATGTAAGTATCTGGAAATTTGCTGTGGGGCAAGGACCCTTATATATCATATAATATATATCATTATATACAATGTAATATATATTAGTTGGGCCCTACTAATATCATTAGTAACATTAAATATTACACAATAAACCAAAGTATATCAGTAGGAGTTTCCTTAAGTCTTTCTGATAGTTTTCTACAGGCTGGTTTATTACAACAGTAGAAAACAATTCTGAAATTATGGTTTATACTGTAGTTTTGGTGTGCCACCCCAAGATTTTTACTGGCCCCATCTGGCCACCCCTACGAAAAATTTCTGGAGGCGCCACTGCGTCAGATATTGAAGCATGGTCAAAATGCTTCCCAAGGCGTCAGTTAGGTGACGCCTTGGGACAAGAATGGGCTGGGAAAATTATAATAGGCTATTTTGTAATTGTCATTTAAATTTGATTCATTTTTTTAGATTGTTTGTCTTAAATCAAAATCTCAGGAAAAAGTAGGCCTATGGGATTTATAATCAAAATATGGCATTGATTTCAGACATGTCCATTGTAGAGGACACCAGAACTTATGTTTATCAGGTATTTTGGGAGACATGACAAGTCTGGACAAGGGAAAGAAATTATATGCTCCTATGAAATATTAGATATTATTATGAAAATGTTTCCAATTATTACTCTCAGTATCACAGTTCTTTTTTCATTACATGTTGCCCCCAAGAACACATTAATATGCTAATTTGGTTATACTAAAAATTGAAAAATCCCAATGTTTTTCCCTATACATTTTTATTTATTTAAACAAATTTCACAGTGTCCACTACAGAAAACATAGCATAACATATGAATCGAATAAACATAATTAAAGAAAATCCCATTTGTTTCTTATGCGCTAACAATGTGACTAAATTCTGAAAACTATTTTTCTTGTTCTCAGGAGGATATAAACTATTTTTAATGTCAATTATTGTTTTTACTTTTCAGTTGCCAGGAGAACACGGTTCCAGGCGTATCGCACTATGAGTCTCAGAGCGGCTGAGGTCTCGCTCACTGCGGCGCTTCTCCTTCATTATGCCGCCATCTAGTGGTCGCGTTTGGAACATTCTTCTCCGCCCACCTGGCCTGGGGTAGTAGTGAGTGACTGATCACATATATTTCTCATTACGTAATCAGATTCCAAAATTAAGTCATTGTAATTACATTATATTTAGTTATAATTCGTTTTTTTTTAAATACTCGTAGGCTACTACAGTTACTTTTTTTATTGATTGCATGATTACATGATATTTTTATAATGGCTGCAAATGATTCATAATTTATTGATTCTCCCAATTGTTTTTATTTATTTTTTTAATTGTTTTATTAAAGGGATAGTTCAACCCCCAAAATTAGATTCTGCCATAATTCACTCAGCCTCATGGTTTTCCAAACCTGTATGAGTTTCTTTCTTCTGCTGAACACAAAAGAAGATATTTTGAAGAATGTTGTTAGACAGTAATGGCACCCATTGACTTCCATATGGGGGACCAAAAGTCTAATTAACAACATTCTTCAAAACTCATGCAGGTTTGGAAAAACATGAGGGTGAGTAAATGATGACAGAATTTTCATTTTTGGGTGAACTATCCCTTTACGAACCCCTGCAGTTCCATCACAAACACCAGTCTGAGAAACCCTGACGTTTGTCTATATAGTTTAATGCACTACATGTTGTTGATAAAAAGGAATGGAATATGTTTTTCCTAAAAAGTAATCTAAAAGTAATTAACCCCTTAACTGTCACTATATTACTACTAAATCCTAATCTAGTCATGACAAACTATATATCGTTGGAAACGTCTAAGACTCCTAAATAGATATTTTAGTGCTGTTTTTTTTTTCTTACAAATTATGAATGAACAGTAATATATGAAGAGTTCAGATGCAAAAGCCTCTAAATGCCATTTGAAATTTTCTTCTTTAATGATGATTTTTATCAAACTTAAGTTCAGTAATTTCACTTAAATAACAATTAGGTAATTATCATTGCAATTTAAGTGAAATCACTGAACTTAAATATACAAGCTTGATAAAAATGATCATTCTAGAAGAAAATTTCAAATGGCACTTAGAGGCTTTTGCATCTGAACTCTTCATATGCATTTATGACAAGAGCGTGCCTCAAAAAATCGACGTCATTACAGGAGTTTCTGACCTTTGTCACAAAAAGTCGACACACACATTTTTAATAATTGAAACTTTGGTTTTGAGTGCTAAAAGTTCATAATAAAACATAATTAGTATTTGTCAATAAAAAAAGATACAATTATATTTTAAAAAGTAAGGTAAAAAGTCCTCTAAAAGTATAATAGGCTTTATATATATATATATATATATATATATATATATATATATATATATATATATATATATATATATATATATACATAATTTTTGTATTATTATTATATCACATATTTTAGTAGTTATTATAAATTAGATATCATTTGAAAGCTTACGAACTCAGAATTCATCCTGTGTAAACCGTTTTGAAATTGGACGGTGCGTTACCATAGAAACGGTATTTTTTATTAGGCCCCTCCCCTTTTGGGCATCATCTTTAATAATTTATTATCAAAACCTTTTCTAATCTTGACAAAACACATATTGTCAGAAAGATCCAAGTCTCAATGTTCCATATTTAGTGACAGAAGTGATATTTGGATAGAAATTTCTTAATTTGTTATGGCAGAATGCATACAATTAAATTCAATGGAATTCAATGGCACCCGGTTTTTGGTATAACGCCTAAACAAAATCTCGAACTTCAATTTTTGTGATATCAACTTTAAATTTGGAACACAACTTGGTTAGATATATAGCTTTAATTTTATAGTTAAAAAATTATTTGTAAAATATTTTATTTTATTTTATTAAAAAAATATATATTAATAAAGTATATTTGATTTACTGTAAATTATAACTTCCATAACTTTTTCATACTTTAAATTTTTGAACTGCTTTCACTTTAGTAATAATCTGCTGATTGTTTTCTTTAAAACAAGACCAAACTTAGGTCTATAGTCCAAAGCATTCTTGAATTACAACCCTTTAAGTTTGTATAGTGCATTTTAATGTCAATTATCAAAAAGGGGGTGATAGGTAAAGGGCTAAACAATCAGATTAACTAAATGTGCAATGTAGTGGATTATGTTAATAAAAGTGTTTATCATGTAATTTGGTAACTGTAACTGACTACAATTTGTAAGCAATCTACCCAACTTTGCTTACAATCTACACATTTTTACATTTGTGGGGAATTGTTAGGTTGTGTTTTATTTCCAGCCTCCAACTTTTTTTTATTTTTACTATCGTAGTACTCAGTAAAATATATTATATCTAAAATATAGGCTATATTTATTTTATATATGTACTATATATATAATTAGGAGTTCTTATAAATCGAGGGTTAGTCCCCATACACTCCTCAAATATAACTACGACACAACATTTTTGTCATTTATACGGTGTAAAATTCAAATGAAGCATGTATTATAAAGTTTCTTGACGCATAATTATTTCTCGACACAGATGTGTAAAAAATAAATAAATAATCAAATAAAATAGAGGCTTGTTTTAAAATCCCTCTCAAGAGGTATACATATCCAGTTTAGCTAAATTTCACAAACTGATATAGTCAATATAGTTGTTTGCATTAATGTATTCAAGACACCTGTACCAAACCCATACATCTGCATTAACACACATCAAGACTATCATCACCAAATCTTCGACATTTTTCCAGTAACTTTATCAATGATGCATTAGATTCTGATTGATGCTGAATTTCTATTAGTGGCGTTCATCTGTGACAAATGAGAAAAGCACACATCCCAGTGAAGTAGATGAGCTTAACCAAATGAAAGTGTCTCTAATTGACATTTTTCATTGTTAGAAACACCGGTGTGAATAATTGAAGCCATTATTGCGCACAGACAGACCATCAACAATTTCCTGCCAGTTCTCACAGACAATGCAGAGGTTGTGATTGACTTATTCAGATGGTCATTAGTGTGCGGTGAAGAGCTTTCATGTCACCCGTCTGCCTTTGTTAAGTGAATGCTTAATAAGCGATTTATGGCCTGCCACCTCAATAGATCAATCAAAACCAATAATACATCTACTTTCAAAATGAGAAATTCAGGGTTTTTTTACTCTTCTGTGACACTACTAGCGCATTCAAGCTTAGTACATTCACTGTTTAATCATAATACATGGAAAGCAATGTATTATAAGTAGCACTGTGATTTTTATAAACCGCAGATAGCCCAACAAGTTCAAATTTATTATATATTATTCAGCTGATATGAGTACAATGCTTACTATATGGTGTCAGTTACCAGGAAAATGAATTCGTTTATAAAATAATAGCTTCAAATATACAGAATGACACTCAGTTTATGTGTATTTTCCTTGAGATAGTGACATACAAAAATATAACATGCTTATTTATATGTTGAGGAATAAAGTGATTTGTATTTGAGTTAGTTGACAAGTGAACTTCAAACCACAGTCTTTCGTCCAGTTTGTCCTCAGCTTTGGATGTCATCCTGAATTCTCAAAGCCTTTAACAAGAAGTCCTCAAGCTGTATGGGAAATATATACAAAATAAGCATTCTTACAAACAAAGGACAAAAAAACAAAGTAATTAATTAGCTATTTTAATAGTGTAATTGGATTACTGTACTAATTACTCTCTATTGCATTACTTTTAACAGTAAACATTACATTTTGGTGTTAGGGAAAAATAATTAAATTACAGTAATTATGCATTACACCCAACACTGCTTATCAAAATTTTGTCAAATAAAAACTCTAGCCTGTTAACTGTTAGTGTCCTGGTAGCGGGACGCTTTTTTATAGCTTTCTTTCTCAAACAAATATTTTAGTAATTATCAAAAATGTATCATTCAAAAGCTTAAACGCTCGTAATTCACACTGCAAACCATTTCTATGCTTCACAGTTAACAGGGTTAATAATAATAACAATAATAATCAACAATAAATGTTTGATTTTTGTTCATTATACTGTACATTGAAGACCAATTATGTCTTAATTAAAAAATAACACTATTAGATCAGAGCCACCCGTTTGCACTTTACATGCGTTTTGCACACATTTATGCATGAACACAATGAGCTTGTTAAAGGGATAGTTCACTTTGAAATTAATATTTTATATGTTTTAGCTTATCTCAAGGGCACCCAAGATGTAGATATATTTGTTTCCACAGTATTTTCAATTTTGATATTTTTAGGTCAAACCGTTTTTGTCTGTCAGTCATATAATGGAGGTATATGGGGTCCACCTCAAAGAGCATGCACAGAGAAGTCCAAATTAAACATGATTTAATGACTTGTAAATGTAAGCACACATTGATGGCCTAAGACATGAAAAGAGTGGTTTGTGTGAAAAAAATAACATTGTTTTTACCTCTTATAACTCACGCGGTTGTGAAAAAAAAAAAAAAAACGCTGTCTCGTGATATATCAAAATCGTCTTCCATTACAATTTCCTGTATATCTAAATATGTTTAGATCTTCACGGTGAAGGATAACACTTCAGAAATCTCTGTGAAAACAATGAGTGACGTACACGCGTGAGAGATCATTCCCGGGGCTTTCCGGCGCTTGCACAGACAGAAGCGCCCTCGCCCTCAGAGTACTTGGACGTCACTGTGGTTACAAGAGGTAAAAGCGATATAAATACTGTTAGTTTTCTCACACAAACCGCTCGTTTCGTGTCTTAGGCCATCAATGTGTACTTACATTTACAAGTCATTAATTCAAGTTTAATTTGGACTTCTCTGTGCATGCTCTTTGAGGTGGACCCCATAGACCTCCATTATATGACTGACAAACAAGAACGGTTTGACCTAAAATATCAAAATTGAAAATACTGTGGAAACAAAGACACCTACATCTTGGATGCCCTTGAGGTAAGCTAAAACATATCAAAAAATAATTTCAAAGTGAACTATCCCCTTAAGGAATTAGTTCCTGTGTTCTCACCAGTTTGACTTGTCTGTCTCTCTCGTGATCTTCCTCCCACTGACGTCTCTTGGTCAGCATGCGCTGGAGAAGTTTCGAAGCATCGATCCCCTCTGTGCCGTCCTGCATTCTCTCCGCTCCTGTCCGTCCCGTCATGAGCGCATACAGATGTTTGTTGAATCTTTCCAGCTGCAGATCCTGGTCTGGGGTCGTCATAAATTCTGATTCCTCTGGTCTGACCTGCTCATCTGTGCTTTTCTTGCCCATTAAGTGCCCTAAAACAAATATAGGTAATTCGGCTGATTGCTGCTCGGATTTTAAGTACAATGACTAAACGTATATGGATTCCATGTGGTTGCAAGTGTGACTGGTCCTATTCCTACCCACTCTGAGTAGGATTCGAACCAGTGTCACATGCATGGGAGGTGAGCGTGCTAACAAGGACGTTAAAGACTGCGCCAGCATCAGTTGCTAGTGCTCCTCTTGAGGCCATGGGAGTGAGATATACTTGAACAGCTCTTGTACTAGCTGGCCTCTGTTACACTCGCCTCACTCCCATCCGGGTCACGGCACCAACGTGACTGGTCCTACTCTTACAGCTCAGAGCGGGATTCAAATCAGATTCACCAACATAGAAGGCGGGCGCACTAACAAGGACACTAAAAACTACAGCTAGAGTCATTCGCTAGTGCACTTCTTGAGGCCGGGGAAGCGAGTTTTACAGCTCTTTTACTAACTGGCCTCTGTTACACCCACCCCCCTAAAACTCCCATCCGGGTCATGGCACAAATGTGACTGGTCCTACTCTTACAGCTCAGAGCGGGATTCATACCAGAGTCACCATCTTTAGGAGGTGGGCGGGCGCACTAATAAGGACACTAAAAAACGCAGCCTCTAGAGTCAGTCGCTAGTGCGCCTCCTGAGGCTGGGGGAGTGAGGTTTACACACACAGCTACTCCATTACACAAGCTTTACGTATATGTTATGTATATCTTTAAAACACACATATTGATTCTAGTCTGGTATTAATGTACAAACAAAATCAATTTGAGCCAAAATAATGCATAATTCCTTCTATTCATCATGTCAAGAAAGGCTTCATGAGAAATTGTTGAATACAACACACAAGTTCTAATGAATTCAGACTCAAAAATAGGATCAAAAGAACATATCCTATTATACTAAACAAATTCATCACACAAACATACAAAAAGCCAGATACACACCTCCTATTTTCATCCAATTAAGATACAGCTGTTAGTCTGCTCTTTGCACCCCATGGATCCACTTTCACTCATCAGTCTCAAAGCTTAAGTGACACTTGAGCGTTTTGCAATCACTCCAGATATACATAATATATGCATTTAATAAACTACCACTGGTATGTTTAACCAAGTGGTTTATATTTTTATCATTGCCTATAGTATAGGTTAAATTTAACTCTTAAAGCATTTCTTCAGGTTTTCAATGGTTTGAATGCAGCTACATTCAGCAAGACATCTTTTTATCCAGGACCATTTTGGCAAGTTGTTTTTTTTTTCAGATCATCATTTATCATTATCATTTATTTAGTTGATATTTTACAATTTTATTGAATGTTATGTTTCAATTTAATAGCTTGTTATTGTACACATCTACTTCTTATATGTATTAAAAAAAAATACACTTCAAGTAGGCTTATGTTGCTCATTTGACATTAAGCACAACAGTGACTCTAAGCATTTAACCGAATTTTCTATATTAAAAAGTAACAAATGTAAATACAGAGTAGCTTGTTTGGGATTTTTAAGGATATGTAACATCAATTTAAATGCATTTATTCGGCTCCAAAACCGAGTATAGGCTATATAAATATATGACCCAAACATATAGGCTATATTGTTGTTTTTGGGTTGGTAAAATTAAAAGTAAGATTTTCACTCACCAACAGCCCAGTGATTTCCGCGCGGATAAACTTTTACAATTGGCTGTGCGTCTGATGCATACACACCACAGAGTACAACAACCAGAATCATGGACACCACTAATCTGGATCTCCATACGAGGCACATAACGCCCATATAAGACTCAAGTCCCTTCACCTTCTTCGATCAGTACTCCTGTAACTTCTCGTACAGTTATTGCTTGTAGAGGCCCCTGTAATGGTGCATTTAGATAATCAGTTCATTTATAGGCTATAGTCCCGTGACGACGACCACTTAGAAAGTGAAAGAAAATGACGTGATAATTTCCTGCGCTATAGAGAGAAATTGTCGTGCCAATTTCTGGATGATTCGTGGTGGTTACGCTGAAAATTTAATGCCCCCTCCCAGGGGTTCTGCGTCAGTATCTTGGTGGGTTAGGCTGATAAAATAAATAAATAAATAAAAAACAGAATGTCATGTTGAGCTAACCTGTCATTATCTCAGCCACCGGCTATTATGCTCCCCAAGACAGATTAAATGTGAAGTGTCATCGGTATTTCATTAGATGTGGGGTAAAAATAACTTGTAAATGGCTCCTTATTGTTTTCTCCTGCAGATGCTTTATGTCATAGGAAAATGGTGATTAAAAATAATGTAAGTTAAATTAACTGGTCTCCCTGACCAGCTAAATAGTGCCCACAACACCTGGAAAACCAACAGTCCATTTAAGGACATATTTTACTTTTTATAATAAAGTTCCAGGTAATGGACATGCAGCCCAAAGCTGTCAATATATCTCAGTTACAAATCTGTTATGAGGCTATTATAATACAGATGGTGTGTGTTTGTGTGTGTGGACAATGGGGACCTACAAAGATAGGGATTTTCAACTTTTTTTTTTTTTTTTTTTTGGTCCCATGAGGAAAGCAGTTTATAAATCAAGTGTGTTTTTGAATATGTAAAAATGCTGAAGTCTAGTTTTTTTGTAAGGGTTGTGTTTGGTAGGATTTATTTATTTATTTATTTATTTATTTATTTATTTATTTATTTATTTATTTATTTATTTATTTATTTATTTATTTATTTATTTATTTATTTATTTATTTTTAAACAACAACAACAGTTTTTTGGTGTTTGTGTGTGTGTTTATGTTTGAGTGCAAAACAACTATTTTGATTCAAATAAAATGACTAGCCTATAAGTGGCAACTAATCATCTTAGTGGCGTACTGCACACAATTATGAAATAAGGAGCAGACAGCTGTAAAAAAGGCATAATAGTGGATGAAGTGATAGCTTAAAACTACCCAAAAGCTTAAATGCCACAGCGAAGAAGGTATATACAACTCTGTCCATCAATATAAAGTGCTTGGTGCAGATGTATATTGGGAGAAGAAATAGGAATTTTTGAAGCCAGTAAGCGTGATGAAATTGCTTGGTACTTTATCCACATCTCTCACCCAGCAAATGGTAGAAAGGAAGTTCCTGAAAAGTCCACAAACAAGCATGTCATGCCATGGATAAAAATCCTCAATAAAATTTAAATAGTGTTATCATGGCAAACAATTATTCATGCCTGCATTCAATGGCACCAAAGGAGAACAACATCCAACCCCCCAAAAAACTGTATTGTTCTGCAAATCAGAAAGAGCAGATGTGCTTTGATGCTTGTGGTTTCAGTTGGATGGAAAAACCAACAAGTGAACAATGCGTGCATGTAGATAGGCGGTGTGCGTGCTATTCTGTGAGTTATCATATTGGGATAATATTGAGTGACGTATTTAAAGATATTTCAGGATAGCAAAAGATAGCAAAGCCTAAATGTAAGACCTCAAAGGCACTGCCAGTTTTGTAACCGGCAAGCTGGATTTCTCATGCTGTCATTTTAATGGCTAATTAATGAAACAAAGTTGAATGTCAAAAGAGAAATGTTAGGTTAATAAACTATTTGAAAAATCTTGCAAATCATACTTTACATATATGTTGCATAATGTTTTTTTTTTCTTAATGAACTAAAAAAAAAGATATAAATAGAACAATGTGTCACAATTGTTCTAAAATACACAAAAACACACACATTATATATATATATATATATATATATATATATATATATATATATATATATATATATATATATATATATATAAACTAGACCTTCCTGCAGAAATTATAAACCAATAAAATGTAATTCATACAAATAAACACAGCATACTTCCACCACTAGATGGAACTATTTGGTTTCATTTGAAGGTTACCAATCACATTAGCCTACACACTAACTAGTCTGGTAGCCTTTCTGTTGATGAGAGGACGCCAGTTTCCAAGGACAAAAACGTCCAGATGGCACTTATGGAATAATAGTGTGACGAATGGCGTGGGGGTGTATCTTTTTGTGTTGTTTGGCGTTGGTTCCGCCCGTCTGAACCATTTCGTAGTATGTGCTTATTGATGATCGATCTCACCTGGACTGGAGGACATTTAAGAGAGCAGAGGGGAAGTTCGGGAGGACGTGATTGGCTTCTCGCGCTCGGAGGGAAACGGGGACGCTTTGTGTTGCTCGAGACCATTAGGGTTTGTCCGGCAACGAAGATAGCTAGCTAGAGAGACATCGGTGTAGTTAGTAATAGTGGGACGGGGGTATAGGAGCGCTGGCCACGTGTTCCTGGAGCGATTAAAAGAGCTGCGTCTCGCATAAAATAAAGAACTCGTGCATCACCAGTGATCCGTAAAGAGAACCTAGCGCGAAGAGGACTAATTAATGCCATTATTGTGACTGCTGTGGCTGGGACGGACAAACGCGGACAAACAACGCGTGCTGCCTCTGTGGACTTCATCACGGCTGATTCCGTTCCCCGAGACCTCTGGGCGGGGTCTTATTTGCCTGGAAATCGGGGAAGTGTTTTATATTTTAACCATTTCATGAGTTATGTGTGGGTGTGAATGTGTATGTGAGAGTTGCGTATGTTAGAGTGTGTACGCCCATTGCTTTGTGTACGCGGGACCAAGGACGATGATTCTTCCACTTGATAAAGGATTGTAGTGATCACGAGTTCTAGTGTGCTGTGCTGGGCTGGGGAGTAACCACTGGAGTGTAGTGACGTTTGAAGTGTTCACTTGGGGATCGCGATTGTCCTAGTGCGCGCGTGCTGAGTTAATGTGGGCTAGAGCCTCTTTCAATGTGTATTGATGTGATGGTACTATTTTTCTAAATCAGATTGTCAATAAAAATATATATTTTCTCTAAAATCCTGTGTGGTGACGTGCCCTCTGTCCTCCATAAATTGTTAAACCTCTTTAAAGAATAATTAAGGTTTACTACACTGGTGGCAGCGGTGGGACAAAATAAAAATAAATAATAATGGAGGGAGAGGGTACGTCCGTGTCTCAGTCAGCATCAAGTTCATTAGCTTCAAATGGCGAGGCTGCTGCTAACGTTAATGTAACTCCAATTTCTCGCCCTCTCTTCATGCCGGAAACATTTACTGGGGTGGGACGAGAATGGTCTGACTGGTCTGAACAATTTGAGATGGCGGCACAAGTGAATGGGTGGGATAATGAGCTCAAGTTAAAGTTTATGTCTTTATTATTTTCTGGTCGAGCCAGAGATATTTATGGAGGACTGCCTTATGAAGCAAAGAATAATTATGTTCTTTTAAAAGATGCTATGGGTAAGTGTTTAGAGCCTTGTGAGAGTGCAGACTGGAATCGGGTGAGCTTTTCTTCCCGACGTCGACTCCATAACGAGACGGCTCGTGAGTTTGGGAATGCATTAAGACGTTTGATTTATAAAGCTTACCCTTCCGCTGACGGTGCTACACAAGACTTACTGGCTCGTGACCATTTTGTTGCACATGTAGGTAGCGGTGACATGCGTATACATTTGCGCAGTGCGAAACCTGCCACTTTGGAAGGTGCGATTAATTTAGCATCAGAATTGGAGCTTATTCGGAATTTAGAACACACCCAGTGGTCAGATTCTAAAGTACGTGGCCTGAGTGTTCAGAATTCATCTGATAATAAGGTCGAAGTCTTACTGGGCATGGTAGAGGAGTTGCGTCAGGAGGTTAAGGCTTTACAAGTTACTGTAAAGGAGATGCAGACGAAGTCTGTCCGTACTACGCCTCTGAAAAATTCATCTGAACCACAGGACCGTTTTCGTGCCGAAGCCTGTTGGGAATGTGGTTGTACCAGACATCTACGTAGAAACTGCCCTTATTTGCAGGGAAACTAGAGGGGGCGGGCACAGCAGGCCAAATGCCTGCCCCCACATCGGTGTCGGATAAATTGGCCTCAGTTTCTTCAAATGGTACTGGAGTTTTTCTGACTGGTAAAGTAGGTGGGTGTGAAACACGGTTATTGATTGACACGGGGGCCCAGGTGTCTATCGTACCCAAACAATTTTGGCTAAATGTAACTAATGGGGGGTCTTGTTTAGATGGATATCAGGGTAGAGTAGCCGTGGCGAATGGTGGGGAAATGTCAATCCTGGGTCGGTGGCAGACGGTATGCCAGTTTGACTCCTTGGCTGTTATTGCTGAATTTTTGGTAGCTGATGTTACACCACAGGAAGTACTATTGGGTACAGATTTTCTCTCTAAATTTGGGGCGGTTATTGATTTGGGTGAAAAATGTTGCCGGCTAATGGGTAAGAAGCTCCCCCTGTTTAGTGAAGATGGTAGTGGCCAACCTAAGGTAGTTAGGGTGCAGGCAGATATTATGATTCCTCCTCGTTCTGAAGCCATTCTACCGGGTAAAGTTGAGGGACTTCTTCCCCAACATTATGAGGGTATGTTGGAGCCTTGTTTTCCATCATGCTCTCAACGTGACGTTTTGGTTGCTCGAGTAGTTTGCAAGGTGGAGGAAGGGGTGGTGCCAGTCCGAGTTATTAATGTGTCGGAAGATAACTGTGTGTTAAAGCAAAATATGAAGATTGGTATTTTTTCCCCCAATATAGAGGTAGGGGATAGTGTTACTACCAAAGTGCATGAGCCAATGTCCTCCCCGCCTTTGACGGTAGACTATTTAGTGTCACATTTTGGGTTGAAGGATCGAGGGTTTGATTCTAGTCAGATGCAGGCTATTGAGGAGGTGTTGCATCGTAATTTGTCGGTGTTTAGTAAGGGGGATAATGATTTGGGGAGAACTCATCTTGCTTTGCATAAAATAGATACAGGCTCTGCACCGCCGGTTAAAGTGCCTCCTCGGCGTGTACCTTTGCACCTCCAGCAGGAGGTTGTTGAGCAGATAAAGCAGATGCAAGAAAATGGCATTATTCGTCCATCATGTAGTCCGTGGGCAGCACCGGTGGTTTTGGTAAAAAAAAAAAGATGGTAGTCTTCGTTTTTGCGTAGATTATCGTAAACTAAATGATGTTACCAGGAAGGATGCCTATCCCCTCCCTAGGATTGACGATGCCCTCGATAGCCTGACAAATGCTTGTTGGTTCTCCACTTTGGACTTAGTAAGTGGCTACTGGCAGGTGGAGGTGGACCCTCAGGATAGACCTAAGACAGCATTCATTACTCGTCAGGGTTTGT